TGGTAAATTTAAACCAAATAAATTGATTGCAACTAATTCCTTGTCTTCTTTCCACAGGTGCACGCGCTCTATCGCACCACCGGTGCTAGTTTTGAGAAAGCCCAGCAAGAATTTGCAACCGGGGTCATGTCTAACAAGACCGTTCAGACTGCAGCTGCCAACGCTGCAGCCAATGCTGCATCCAACGCTGCTCGCGGGGCCTTCAAAGCTCATCCATAAACAGATGTGGTACACGTGCTCAGTGCTCATTTAAACACACACACACACGCATATACTTAAACACACACACACAGACACAGACAAAATGGAGATGCACAACTCTGGCCCTCGGATCAAATTGATAATACTTGTGAATGTTTGCCCTGCACCGACACACTTTGCTTAAAAAGTGTGAAGCAAAATAACGGAAAAAAACAATCGGAGTTGTCCATCTTCACTTTAAATCATATATCAGCTCTCCTGCATCCACCTGGTCAGCTTTTCAGTCAGGTGACTATCTACTCACATCCCACAAAACATCCAGCAAGTGACTCAAGGTGTGCTCCGACTGTGTGAGATTTCATCGCACACGCTTGCGCACTCCTTTACTCTCCTTGTTCGTCTGTTCCCTCGAGGTGATCCTAGGTCAGGTAAAGGTCGCAGCTCGACCATACCTTATTTCTGTGAGGGTGATGACCCCCAAACAGCTTCCTGCCTGATAAATGAAAAGTGATCTGACCGTGGTGTTTTGCACATAGTTTGGTTTTCTTGCCCGTATACTGAAAGTGGCTGGGCCTCTGTGCGAATGTCTGCTTCACTCTAAGAAAATTGTGGCTCTGATTTCCTTCTTCTTCTGTTTTTTTTTTAATATAATCCAGTGCTCCGTCATTAAGCTCTGAAAGGTAAATGGTACCTTGTCCTATATCTGTGCTTTTGTTGTGAGACAAGTACCATTCTTGTTATAGTAAAAAACAAAACAAAAAAAAAAAAAAATCACAAGAATAGGAAAATGTCTGTATGTTCTTATATAAGGACCTGCGCCCCCCAACAACACCTGCCAGGTGAGCCATTTTTTTCCTGCTCTGTGTGCTACTTTGATTGACAACGTGGGCTGGGTCAGCATCTCTAGATTTGACAGCATGATAGCGGCATGCATGTTTAGCACACCCAAGGTAGCTAAGTCTTTGGCAAAGTCATTCTTCCCACTTTTGGTCCCAGCTACAAGGAGCTGGTTTTCGGTGACTGTCTGCCTACTTATTCTCCCTCGGTTTTGCTGTGAGGGCTGTTTGCATGTCTCGGTGGCTGCCTGACAGAAGATGACGGTTAAGAGAAGAAAATTGGAGGGAAAAGGGGAATGAAAATTGAACATTAGCTTCTTTTTTTTCCCCCTTATGTGTGTATTAACGCAAAAACTGTGTGGCCCTCGGTTGTTTTTGTAGCTCCTCATACTCGAAAACTAACGCTGCTATGAATCTCAGAGGCGCTCGGTCGTGGCCTCCCGCTGTCGTGTTTCCTATTGAAAAGGATGCGTACCATTCATAGGGATCAGACCTGCCTTTTCTCACAGAAGAATCACTGTCCACAGTTCTGGATAAAGTGATAAAGCTATCATTTTTCCTGAGATTAACCTGCATACATAAACTTGTAAAAAAACATTGACATCATGTATATGTACACTACATAGGCTAACACTCCATTTTTGTTTTCCTCTGTCAGTAGTGAATTACTGGCATTTGAAGTTTTATAGCCAAAATAAGCATTAATATAACAGAAGATTGGACTTGGGGTGCCATCACTATGATACACTAATTTATCTACAATAATAACAGTGTTATCCAGCACCAAGTTGTACAGACTACTGTCACTGATGTGAAATATGGATGTGGGTTTCTTGATTTATTTTTTTTCTTTGTGCTTTAGCACCTCTCATGATGTTGGTGAGTGTGTGAAGATGTGCATGGCAGAAGACGGGTGATAACTGGCACTACTGTTATTAAAAATGTATAGCCTGAACTTTATCGTGGACAAAATGCTGTCAGTGTTAGCTAGCTGAGGCTCGGTAATTTGTCCTGAAAGAGTAAGCCTAGATCTCTGCAGTATTCTTTTGATTTGGACGTAATTTCATCTAAATTCATTGCACATTTCTTGTTTTATGTTGAACGTAGCGCAAGAGAAAAAATGTTTTTATTAATGGTGTAATTTAAGCTGTTTGCATTTTGTTTCCTTTTTGGTTTGTGTGGGTTTTTTTTTTAATGACACTGTCATAGCATCAGCTAGATTTAAAGGTTTTTTTTAAAGTGTTTAATGACTTTGCAACTTGACCTTGCAAGAGGTGTGCTTGTCGTACGAGGATGTGTGTTTATGGTTGGTATGAAAGAGGAAAAAAAATAAAAATAAGCTCCCTCAAGTGTTATTCTATGTCCTGAAAAGCTGTGAGAAATCTACCAAATGTCCATACAGATTTGTTTTCAAATCTCAGTTTGTGGTGTGATCCCTTTCCATGTTTTACTTTGAGGTATTCTTTTTCCTTACATACACCCACATGAGTCCCATCTATCTATAGTTTCAAACAGTTGTTTTACAAAGCCATGCTGCAGTGGGTAATTTCTTGATGTATTTGATGAGCTGGTCAGCAGTACAGAACAATGTGTTTGAAGTTTGCCAACACAAAACTGTGTTTTGGACCTGTGACTATGTTATTTCACTGAATCAGAGAAAAAGAGAAAAAAAAACTCATCCAGAAAGGGACACTTGTATATTTTGTAAAGTTGAAAAATTGATCCCCATTATCAAATCACGTGTAAAAAGAAGTAATGCACTCTTGTCTGGCCTTTGTCGCATGTGAAATAGTTTGAGTTTTGTATATTTATGGTATTAACATGAAATAAAATTTCAAAGAAATGATTGTGGATTTGTTATATAATTACAAATTTATCCTCTTGCAGTGATTTAAAACAAACAAAAAAAATTAAGAATGACCATGGAGAAGGGTATCTGCTCAAATTCAAACTGTGTCAAAATGAGGAAGGAAAGGTGGTCTCGGAATTTCAGAAACTGCCGTTTTACTGGGAATTTCCCACACAACCATCTTTACAGAGGATGGACTGAAAAAGAGAAAATCGGTGAGCCGTAGTTCTCTAGGCAAAGATTGTGCTGATGCATGCAGAGGTCAGTGGATAATGATTCAGCTTGAAGCAGTATGACCAAAGGCAACAGTAACTCTCATCGTGGTTGTAACTGCTTGTTATAATAATGGATGGATTGGATTTATATAGCGCTTTTCAAAGCGCTTTACAATACCACTATTCATTCACTCTCACATTCACACACTGGTGGAGGCAAGCTATGGTTGTAGCCACAGCTGCCCACAGAAGCGAGGCTGCCATATCGCGCCATCGGCCCCTCTGGCCAACACCAGTAGGCAGGAGGTGAAGTGTCTTGCCCAAGGACACAACGACCAGGACAGAGAGCCCGGGCGACCTTCCGGTTACAGATACGCTTCCCAACCCCCTGAGCCACGGTCGCCCCAATAATGAACCAAAGTATGCAGAAGATAACCTCTGAGCATACAATGCATTAAACCTTGAAACAGATGTGCTACAGATGTCACTCCTGTCAGCTAAGATAACAAAACTTGCTCTACCATTTGCAAGATGGTAGGCTCATTATCATGACAATTTATTTATTCATACATCCATTCATTTATTTATTTTACTGGTCATGTTTGAATACAAATTACTTTTTTTTGGTGGCATACTAAAAAAAAAGTTTAAGAACCACTTAGACTCCGAAGCCCGTGACACAGTTTGCAGGGTATCATACATACATGCTTAGAGATGAAAAGATTCACGAGATTTTCAAAAGTTAAACAAATGGATTTAATATAAAATTTAAAATTTGCCAGTAAAAAAAGAAAAAAAAACAATTTGTTAATCATCTCATATCACTTCAGATTTACCTCACAAGCCTCTTTTAACACTGTTATGAGCTAATGTCCACCGTCCGTCTCCAGGGGTCAGTGTTTCATCAGGAAGTCTTGGCACAGTAGAAACAGAGTTTACACATTTCTAACACAGAGTAAAGAAGTCCTGCTTTATTTAAGCACAGGTTCTCTGTCCTCAGATATATCACCCTCTCATACACGAAGCCTCATACAGTGTTCCACTTATACTCTTTTGTTAATGTAACAAAAATAGCAGACAGTATATATTTAATCACAGTCATACTATGTGTTTGGATGTAAATCCATATCACAAGTTCACTTTCATTCTGCCTACTTGCTCTCAGAAAACAACACTAATGGAATTATTGCACATCTACAATGAATAAAAGCACTGCATCACATGAATCCTAACATATACAGAAACATTTAGATGGATGAATTAGAAATGAATACAATATGCAGCAATGTGAAATGATTTAAAGGCCGAGTGCAAAATACAATAGGTTCCAATTGGAAAACCATCAAACTGCGATGGAGGTTCACTTTAATCAGCTTTGCAAAAGTGTCCAAATCACTCACGAGTGGGAATGAAGTGTAATGACCTAGTGGGAGTTTTTTTCAATCCTTATCTTTTCCTTTTGGGCACCTTCACAAAGCCAGACTTGTGTTTATGGCTTTCTGCATGTCATACGGTATTTCGTGATAAACCACCTGCTTTATCTTGCTGCTTTAGCCCGTCACGAAGCCACACGCAATGAAACATCTGGCAGAGCTCTGTTTTCTTTTGTTTGTTTCTGCATACGCACACACAAACAGTTATTAAGCTACACAATCAGTTAAACAGGAGGAGCTCCCTTTGAAACTAAAAATCCCTTCTGTGGTGATTTTCAACTTAAAGCGTTTAAAAAGAGTCTCAATGTCCTGCTACCGCAGAATCAGAGCACATAGGCATTTAAGAAACCTCAGATTAATGTCTATCACCAGAAGCGCCAAAAGTACAGATTTTCTTTACTCAAGCAGAAGTTTTTTTTAACCCGTGTAAAAAAAAAAAAAAAAAAAAACTCCAATAAAAGTTTTTTGCTTGAGTAAAAGTAAAAAAGTACAGGCTCTGAAATTTACTCATAGTAAGAAAGTAAAAAGTAGCTCAAGACTACTAACCATTTTTGTTAAAGGTGACAGAACCTTATGCTATATTAATAAAATAATAAAATATTTGTACAAGAACGTTGCTGGGTGTGTGAGTTGATGAATCTAGTAGTGGTTAGTGATCGAACCCTATGAATGAACATAATGATGGTTAAAACAAATAAACTGGCTTTCTGGCCGTGTTTAACATGTTAAATCTAAAAACCTATCCACTGCCAATCCAATTTATTTCACTAGCCTCCTGCTATTCCAGCAAAAATAAAAAATAACTTGTTCAAAAGCATATAAGTAGATTTTTAAACTGAAATTCTAAAAAAGGGGGGAAGCATTTTATTCCCTTTTCAACTGCTCATCAGGTAGTCTCCATCACAAGACAGTAATTTTTAAAAGAAAAGTAGGCCGGGGGGGGGGGGCGTTATTAGGGCCGTTTACAACAATCAGCTGATTTTCGCCAGACTATCACGAGGGGGGGGGGGAATCCCCACTGAGAAACATCTGTCCTCCCTCCACGAAGTTGTAGTCCACATCAGAGAAATTCCACCGTGGGTGATTTCTGCAGCTTCCCGGGGTTACTAAAGGCTCAGAGCAGGCAGATCAGACTTTTCCCATCCTCAATCTCCTCCTGAACTTTATCGCTGGAAGTAGCGATCTCGGCCTGTGCAGACAGAACGGCACACAAGAAGGTTGCTAGCGTTCCTCCTATCGCTGTGTAGAACGCCCAGCCAAGTGAACAATTAAATGGTCGAAACGGCAACGCATCGGAGCCACAGTAGAACTTCACCTTCTCTGAACCCCAACCAGCAGGGTACAGCATGAGGCCGACCATCAGTAACAGGCCTGGAGGAAGAGCAGGTGATGATATGAGGGGTTTAGTCATGTCAGAGCTGAAGGTTTGAACAAATCGCAGTGCAGGTGGGAGAATAGTGAGTCAACTTTGCTAAAGACAACACCAATTTTCCAGCTGACGAGCTGATTTGCAATGGGTGGAGAGAACTCCTTTGACCCTCATCCTCAGTGGTGATATCACGTAATTACAGACTACCTACTCAATAAAGCTGGGCAGTCAAACCCGCCTTTGTGATTCATTGCAAAATATACAGTGGTACGATTAATAAACTTGGGGAAGTATGATGAACATCAGATGTTGTAAAGTCAGATGTTGTAACTTGCCAACACAAAAGCAGTACTGACATTCCTTACAGACTATGGCATGATTTCAAAACTGAGCTCGAACAGCCTTGCTTGCACAGACTTGATGCGATAGACGCTATACTGGCATATTAGCATTAGCTCTGGAGCAAGTGATATGCAGCTTCTCAGTTTCTTGAATTTGACCATGATTCAGCACTGCTATTCTTGAAATCAGTTCCTGTAACATACAACATCTAGTATTAATGGTGAATGAACCCAGAAGATTCATGGCAATGAAAGAAAAAAAAAAAACTTATATTCATGTATTTGTTGTATGTTTGTAGCCTTTCATGGCAAGTCAGCTATGATAAGTTCAAGCCCA